CCGGGCCGCCATGGAACCGGCCCCCTCCGCCGGCGCCGAGCCTCAGCCCCTGGTCTTCGCCAACATCTCCGACGCCGATCCCAGCGCCTTCCCCAGCGTGGGCGCCAATGCGTCGGGGCCCCCGGGCGCACGGAGCGCCTCTTCCCTCGCCCTGGCTGTCGCCATCACCGCGCTCTACTCGGCCGTGTGCGCCGTGGGTCTGCTGGGCAACGTGCTGGTCATGTTTGGCATCGTCCGGTGAGTCCGCGGCCCCGGGGGCAGAGGGGGGCGGGGAGCGGCTGGGGAGACCATAGATTTGGGACCTGGACCCCAGACGATCCCCCATTCCCCGGGCCTTTGCATTTCCTGCCGGGTCTCAGGGGCCCTGCGGGGAGGCCACTTCCATTGAGATGTGTGGATGTGTGTCTTGAGTGTGTGTGTGTGTGACACACATGCACTTGCACTAGCCCAACTAAATAGCATTGGCATCCCCTGGCTGTGGGATATGGGACAGTTTGGCAACAGTTTGTGTGTCTGTCACAGTTTGCGTGTGGGTGATTGTTTGTGACAGGACAGGTGAGTGGGCCTCAGGGTGGGTGAAGAAGCTTCAGGGTACCTGGGGCCCTTGGAGGAGCCCTCTGAGTGTGAGCACTGTGCAGGCTGTGGGGACAGGAGCACTGTGTCACATCCGCACTGTGCTGTGGGGACGCTTAGCAGGTCACATTTGGTCATGTGTGTGTCAGCCAGTATTGGGGCTTGAACTCATGGACTGGGCACTCTCCCTTAGCTTTTTTTTTTGCCCAAGGTTGGCACTCTATCACTTGAGCCACAGCTCCACTTTGGCCTTTCTGATGGTTGATTGGAAATAAGAGTCTCATGGACTTTCCTGTCCTGGCTGGCTTTAAACTGTGTTTCTCCCACCGTAGCCTCCTGAGTAGCTAGGATTACCAAGATGAGCCATCATTGCCAGTCACCATCGTTTTGGGATTGCTGTGATAGTGTTTGTCCCAAACTGTCAGTGTGTAATTCTATATGTGTATATGATAGTCTGACCATGTTATTTCTTGTCAAACACCGGAAACCCCAAGAGGAGGTGTACATCCAGCGTGGCAGGCTTTGGGTACCTTTGTGCTGTGGTGTTTGCTAGTGGAGAGCCAGGGGGCTCCTGAATACAGTAGGCAGTGGCAATGGGCTAGCAGTTGCTCCCTTCCCCAGACAGACCATTTAGTCAGGAACTCTAGATGCAAATGAGACAGGTCTGTATCTTCCTTCCAAACTCTCTCTCTCCTAGCCAAAAGATGGAAGCTACCAAAGGAAATGGTGGTTCATTTGGGCAGGAGCTGAGTAAACGTGGGCTTTCTGCCTGGTGAGCAAAGGTCTCTTCTTGCATCTGTGGCCAGTGCTGGTATCTCAGTCTAAAACATTGCCAGCTTGCTTGTGCCTTCCTGACTCAGCCCCATCAGCTTAGATACCTGCAGAGAAACTCTTGTTGTTCAATAAGGATGATTTGGTAGCTGTTGTGATCTGAGCGTGAGGGAGGCAGAGGCAGAAGAAATGAGAATTTGAGGCCAGCCAGGGCTAGAGTGAGTTTGAGGCCAGTCTAAATACACATTCCCCTCAAGACCTCTCCAAAATAGCCCTGGCGTTTGCTGGTAATTGGAGATGATCTCCCATACTGGTTGACTGAGGATATTGTCCTAGACTTCTCTGGGCTGTGGAATGGTATCAGCAGACAAGGCAGCGGGCAGATCATAGACTCAGGCTAGTGTTGTGGACTTCCAACTTTGGCCATTGGACTTACGATGAGGAGCAGGCTCCAGTTCCGCTGCACCCGTCACACCTGGCTCATTTCCCTGTTGAGAATAGAGAGCCAATCTCCTTAACTCGAAAGAGAGGGGTGTCTGTAGGGCAGAATGTGGTGGTGGTGGTTGGAGTGTGCGATTGTTGCTCCAGGGAAATCTTGTTTGCCTAGAAACAATGGAGGAGGGTTGGAAAGGTGGCTTAGGGGTAGAGTGCTTCCCTAGCATGCATGAAGCCAGAAGTGATTCTGTGGCTCAAGTGGTAGAGTGCTAGCCTTCAGCCAGAGAAGCTCAGGACAGTGCCCATTCCCTGAGTCCAAGCCTCAGGACTGGCAAGAAAAGAAAGGAAGGAAGGAAGGAGGGAAGGAAGGAAGGATAGACTTAGGAGTTCCCTGTGTGATGCATGCCCACTCTCCCAAGCCCAGAAGGATGAACCTTTGTTTTTTGTTTGTTTGTTTTGTTGGTCATGAGACTTGACTCTAGGCCTGGGTACTGTCCCTCAGCTCTTCAGCTCAAGGCTAGCACTCTACCACTTGAGCCACAGTGCCACTTCCAGCTTTTTCTGTTTATGTGGTGCTGAGGAATCGAACCCAGGGCCTCATGCATGCGAGACAAGCACTCTACCACTGAGCCACCTTCCCAGCCCCATGGACCTTGGTTTTTATGAGCCAGTCTCTCCCCTCTGTAGGCTTAGAGTTGAGCTGACCTATTAATCCTTGCTCTGCCTCATGCAGGTTCTATGATTTGGGCAAATCCCTGAGTCTCTTTGAGTCTCAGCTGCTTCTTCTATATAATGGGATCATTCTAAAACCTTCTTGAATAGGGCTGTGAGGAGGTGTCAGGGGAACATAGAGACTAGATTCCGCAATCCTGAAGAATCCCATATGGATTGAGGAAGGGCAGGTGAGGGAGTCGCTGGTCCTAAGGTATGCCCAGGAGCTGCTTGGAGAGTTCTGGCTCCTGGCATGCACATGTTTTGTTCTCTCTAGATGAGCTTTGGGGGCTCCGATCTGGGAAAAGCTGAGCATCTGTTCCCCATTTCCAGCTTTCTCTCCAGGGCCCCAGCTGCTGGCTGCTGGCACAGTGAGGGGAGGGCCTCCCCTCTCAGAGTCCACTCTGAGAGGCTTTGGGTTCGTATGGACACAAAGGACATAGCTGACCCCATAGCACCCCAATTTGCTAAGACGTTTCCCTGGCCAGACATCTGTGTAATGACTCTGGGTTGAATGATTTAATCCTGACCTGTAACCCGCATGACATACACTAGGATCTCCCATTTTTACAGATAAAATGAGGAATATGTGCAGGGGAGGGGGGCGGGAAGAAGGAGGGAGAGAGAGAGAGAGACAGAGAGAGAGAGATCTGATTTATACTCAGGTATCACAACCAACACTAGACCCAGAGCTAGAAAGCTGATATTATGATCCAGCTCCAGAGCTGCTCAGGGTAGGCACAGTCAAAGCATTGCATGATGGGAGACCTGAGGACCACGATCCTTTAGCCATTCAGCTTGTGCATTCAAGGCTGCCATCCTCGGGGGAGGAGGAGTGTAGGGCTGAGAGGCAGGCTTGCCCAGAACTCCGTTTCTGCTGGAAAAGTCCCAAGAGAAATGGGGACAGGGATGGAGGCAGGATGGAGAAAAGCCCTTGTTCCCCCTAAAGTTTCCTCGAGCTCTGTGACTGTCTGAGACTCCCTAGTACTCCGTGTGGGACCTGACATCACCAATTAAAATAAAAACAACAACACTGGATTGGTTGAGTGACAGTGATAGAATGAATTTTGCCTATCAGTCCGCAGCTTAGGCAGTTTGGGGAATGGCGTGGTGTGTCAGAGAGAGCCTGGGCAGAAAAGCAGGATATGTGACGGGGATTTAGAGCCAGACAAATGTAACTCTGTGTGTGTGTATGTGTGTGTGCGTGCACACGCGCACGCGTGTCAGCACTGGGGCACTGTCCCTGAGCTTTTTGTTTTTCCCCTCAAGGCTAGTGTTCTACCCCTTGAGTTACACCCCCACTTCTGGCTTTTTGCTGCTTAATTGGAGATAAGAGTCTCACGGTCTTTCCTGCCTCGGCTGGCTTTGAACCATAATCCTCAGATCTCAGCCTCATGAGTAGCTAGGGTGATAGACCCGGGCTACTAGTACACAGCATCTTAGGTGAGTGTAAAGCCTCTTACTGTGTGGTGAGCTGCCCGCTGCCCACTACTGTGAAGCTCAGTTCCCCATCTGCAAAGTGGGAATATCAGCCGTGCATCTGGGGCTGGCGTGAGGCTTAGGGGCATTGAAGGGTGAAATCTGAGCCCTTTGAGACCAACGGTTGAGAACCATTAAACTCCTTCTAGGAGGTTCTACTGATGTCTTCTGCTAGATGCTGAGATGTAGCAGTGAGGCAAAAAGAAAACTGGTGCCAGCCTGTACTCTTAAAAGCTGAAATGTGACGTTGTACAAAGAGCTCGGGGCCTTGGTGGTAGCAGTGGGGGGGTCTCGCGTGGGAGAGATCCGAAGCCACCTCTGCAGAGGGGAAGTCCAAAGCTGTGGCCCAGGAGTGTGATACAGATGGGGCCTTGAGAAAAAGCAGCAGGAGTGTCAGAATGCCTGGTCACGAACTGCTCTCCATTCTCCACCCCCATGTGCTGGCCCTGTCCACGGACACACCTGAGGAGCCCACTCATCCTGGATGCCAGCGAGGTGCCTCTGGGAGCTGTGCTCCAAGCAAACAGTCTGTGTTCCCAGAACGAGGCTTCTGTGGATCGTGAGCCATCTGGTCGCAAGGCAGAGCATTGCTCCCTGTTCCTGGACTCTGGGCTAGCCGGGAGGTGCCCTGGCTCTCATGGCGCAGGTCCTCCGCTGCCCAGCCGCTCAGAGAGTTCCCATCAGTAGCCCTCTGAGGTAGGGTGGGTGTCAAAGGCTTAACAGATCTTTTTTTTTTTTTTTTTCCAGTCCTGGGGCTTGAACTCAGGGCCTGGGCACTGTCCCTGAGCTTCTTTTTGCTCGAGGCTAGCACTCCACCACTTGAGCCACAGCACCACTTCCGGCTTTTTCTGTTTATGTGGTACTGAGGAATCGAACCCAGGGCTTCATGCATGCCAGTCTACCATTAAGCCACATTCCCAGCCCTTAGCAAATCCTTGATCTCCTTTTCCCTCCACATGGCCTGGAGCTTCCTGTTTGCCGCCCCCAAAGCCAGGCAGGAGAACAGGGGCATCCCTTTCCTAGCTGCCTTACCTGTTTTGTATCTTTCCCTGCCTCTGCCGCTCCAGACCCATCATTCCCAGCATCCTCTGCTTTCCAGCTAGTGCCAGCCCTCCCCCGATGTGAATTGGTCAGACTTTCTTTGACCCTTCATGTCCTCTCTGTGTCTTCCGGCTCTTCTTGTCAAGTGCTGCTCTGCCACCCACTGAGGAATTTATTTATTTCATTTATTTTTGGGTCCGGTCGTGGGGCCTGAACTCAGCCTGGGC